ACCAATCCACCACCGCGCGAGTCCTGGTCCGCAACAATCTTTCCCAACCGTTTGGTATTCGGTCTGGCGTTCGATAAGGTTGTATCCTGTCGCCCATTCTGTTCAACAACGCTATTGACTGGATTCTCGGGAGGGCCCTACAGGAGGATGACGGTGTTGAATTCGCACCCGGACAACGGGTGACTGATCTCGACTATGCCGATGATATTGCCCTACTTGCTTTAAGTGTTAGTGATTTACAGTCTATGGTGTCACGGGTGAACGAGGTCGCTAAATAGGTCGGTTTATCCATAAGCGCTTGAAAGACTGAAATGTTTTCCAGCTGCATCCCTGACCAGGAGAAGGCACCTATCGGGATTTATGGCTGTCAACTTGAAGAAGTATACAGTTTTAAATACCTCGGGGTCAGACTGCTGTCGAATTGATGCTAGCCGCCGGGTTTTCTCAAGCACTAGAAAATGTCAGTGAATCCGACGCGAAATCTCCATCGCCATTAAGGCTCGCATGTACAGTGCATCTGTTCGGACTGCACCTCTATGGTTGTGAATTCCGGACTGTGCGCGTGGATCACGAGCGGAAACTGAAGGTATTTGACCACCACTACTTGAGGACCGCCCTTCCAGTGAAGTACACCGAATTCGTCCTAAATGATACAGTTCGCGCTCGCTGCGACAACATCACAAGGATGACCCAGGCCATCCAAGAAAGGCGACTGAGGTGGTTTGGACATGTTCTTCGTCGTCCACCTCAGGAGCTCAGTATTACTGCCCTCGATCCGTCACCGTTACCCCATTGGAGCCGTCGAAGAGGGGGTCAACTCAAAACCTGGCTCGACACAGTTAGTCAAGAGATGGAGGTGGTTCTTGGACCTTCGGCATTCAGTCTCCGTCGTTGGCGAAGGGAATGGGTTGAACTGTCCAGATCTGCTGCCGCGGATCGTCACGCATGGAGAGGTACAGTTAGGGACATCATCGAGGCCGGCAAGATCAGACATGATCGCAGCCGTACCAAGTACCAAGCAGGTATCTAGTATCTAAACGATGGCGGGACAGCTGCACAGGTTATCTAAATTCCTGTAGGCAAGCGCTGTGCAATATAGGTCTTTGATCGTTGCTCAGGGCATGGAGGTGTGCGTGACAGGTAGTAAGTTTTTGCACAGCAATGCATTCACTTGACTCATTCGACCTCGAAAGCTCGATGCTCGCAAATGTTAATGCAAGTCAACGGAAAACCGCTTTGAGGGGGAAGTTACTAACCACCTCACCATGATGCACAACAGCCTGGGGTTAATGCGGAAACAGTCCGTTTCATAAAGGTAGCAGCGAGTGCAAACTCCAGGACTGGATGCTAGCCAAAGCCATTGAATTTTCAGTTGGTGTACGGAGCCCAAATTGGCCGAACACAAAAACTAGAGCACCGCGCCATCAGGCAACATGGTTAGGGAGGGCCGACCGAACGTCATATGGCAGAATACGAGATCGGAATTGGTAGGAGTCCCCATTACTGGCGACGAAAGACGCCTCGATCAAGTCCCTCGACATTCGTCAAAGCACACTTTGGCGGTCTCTCATACCATCGAAGTGAGGGTAGGTCTCCCTACCATGTCACTCAAGGGACGACTGGCGCGCTACCGAGAAACTTTTCCAGAGTTGCTCAACTTGCCTTCTCTGGATGCGCGCAGAGTGGGTTTTACAGCAGCTGCATTTGCAAGGATCCTTGTGACTGCGACTGTGTTACGGAGTCTAAGGCTTAAATTAAAGCAGTAATCCAGTGCCTTGTGCGAAAAAACCGTGGGTGAGGGCGGACTGCTAGTCAAAATCTAGGACAGCGATTTTTGTATTATTCTAGGGCGAACGAGGCAGAATATGATCCACTTAACAATTATGGATTTATCGGTGTAAGAAATGTCCGCCAACAATCGATGGCAGTCCGGTTCGTCGACTTTGCTGTACCGTTCGATTCCATCCATTATAAGTGCCTGTAGCAGACAATAAAGCTAAACGGTACACCGACGAAAGCCATCGTGATGATCAAGGCCGCCAATCTTGTACTTACTTGTACTTGATACGGCTGCGATCATGCCTGATCTAGCCGGCCTCGATGATGTCCCGAACAGTACCTCTCCACGCGTGACGATCCGCGGCAGCAGATCTAGACAGCTCGACCCATTCCCTTCGCCAACGACGGAGACCGAATACCGAAGGTCCAAGAACCGCCTCCATGTCTTGACGGACAGTGTCGAGCCAGGTTTTGAACTGACCCCCTCTTCGACGCCTCCAATGGGGCAACGGTGCCGGGTCGAGGGTAGTAACACTGAGCTCCTGAGGTGGACGACGAAGAACATGCCCGAACCACCTCAGTCGTCTTTCTTGGATGGCCTGAGTTATCCTTGCGATGTCGTCGCAGCGAGCGCGGACTGTCTCATTTGAGACGAAGTCGGTTAACTTCACTCGAAGGATGATCCTCAGGCAGTGGTGGTCAAATACCTCCAGTTTTCGGTCATCCTCCACGCGCAAAGCCCAGCATTCACAACCGTAGAGAAGGACAGACCGGACAGATGCACGGTACACGCGAATCTTAGTGGCGATGGAGAGGTCACGTCGGTTCCACAGGCATTTCCGAAGGCTTGAGAAAACCCAGCGGGCAGCATCGATTCGGGAGGCAATGTCGTCCTTACTCTGTCCGTTAGGCAGCAGCCTCGCCCCGAGGTATTTAAAACTGTCCACTTCTTCAAGTTGACAGCCATCAATCCCCAGGGGTGCCTTCTCCTGGTCAGGGATGCAGTTTGAGAATACTTCGGTCTTCCCAGCATTTATGGACAAACCGACTGCTTTGGCGACCTCGTTCACCCGTGACACCATAGACTGCAGATCACCATAACTTGAAGCAAGTAAGGCGATATCATCGGCGTAGTCGAGATCAGTCAGTCGACGTCCGGGTGCAAATTCAACGCCGTCACCGTCGCGTAGGGCCCTCCC